CTCCTTCTCATAATGTTGATTAGCAATGGTAAAAGCTGCATCTTCAATTTCTTCAGCATTTTTGGCAGCTTCTTCCTTGGATAGACTGCGGTACTTGCGGGTGAAAATGGTTGGACTAGAAAGATTATTCGTCATTCTTTCCACCAGCATTTTTCTTGTGTTCTCACTTGGAGGCCACAGTTTAATTGAAAATGGTCTGCGCTGAGAGTTAGCTGTTGTGGCATCCATTGGAAGAAAACCTAGAATCAAAGGAATATAGTGAATCATGTCTCAGTTTCTATAAAAGTGATTATCTTTCAAGAAATATAACCACTACAAGACTCATCTCTGGCAGTTAAGAACATAACAACCAAAAACAAAGTACCAGGCAAGAACAAGTTCGTGCACACCTACTCCACGTAAGAAAAACTAACATATATCGAAACCAAATTTGAAGAGCTCAAATTCTTCCTCATATAGAAATCAGATATAATTGTTTGACAACTCAATAGTTTCACCACAAAACACCAAGCAGGTGTCCAAAGAATGGCAAAGTTTCTACAATCATCCATCATCGAAAACGAGATTGAATTTTCTAATTCTTTTATAAACCACCTTGCAATGCACCACATTCATATCCAACAATGTAAAAAACACTCAAAACCAAAAATGGTATACTCAACAGATGTATTCCATTTCACCACACTATAACACATAAAAACTTTCTTGGATACAAAAAAAATACCCCACAATACATTACCGAAGAATAATATGAGCAGCGCAGAGCAGCATATATACAATTTACAGAGCCGCTAAAACATCAGAAACTTGTAATACAAAACAAAATCCCTCTTTTACCCCTACAAACAAACAAACCTCACGAGAAAAATAAAAACTTTATACCTAACAGTGAAGTTTGTAGTCCTCCTCCCAGTAATTGCAACCTACTCTACCAAACCCCAAAATAATAAACATAAAAAAAAACTACCTAAAACCACAAACGAAAGCACATTAAACAAGAAAAATTACTAAAATCCAGCACAGATCTGTGTAATCACATGACCAAAAAAGTAGACTCGTACAGAGCATAAGCGCAAAAACCCTAGAAATCAAGAGAAAAGAAAAAACCTTTTTGGGATTTTTCTGATTATCGTTGGAGTGAGTGTCTGTTGTAACTCACCGGAAAACAACAAGGGAGAATGTGTGAGTTCGACGCGCCGCCGGAGAGAGTGCAAGTGAAGAAAATCTCAACTGAAAAAAGTGAAGTAAACAATGTGTGTGTGTTTTGTGGGAACAGTGTTTTTATATTCGACTGTCTTGTTACTCGAGGGATAACCTAATGTAAAATATTTTGAATAATTGTGAATTCTTAGAGACTTTTTTCCATTAGTTTAAAATAAGCAAATTATTCGAAATCAAAAGAATTTTTGGATCTTTTTTATTTAATGAGATTAGTTTGAAAATAATATAAAAAGATAATCGTGAAAAATAATATTGAATTTGTTGTAAAATTAAGTTCAGATTAATATAACTATAAAAAGAAGAAGACAAGATATGTAGACGAAGAAGATAACTTTTTTTCTATTAAAAATTTCTTGGGAACTTACCTGCATGATTTGGCCGATTTTTCTTTCCTCCATGAGAAAACACTGCTCAGTGAGACAATGTAGTCAAGTCAATAGCAGCCAGAGCAAAAGATTGATATATAATGAGAGTTCGCCTTCTTGTGCCAACATCTCCATACTAAATAGATTTTTAAATTCTGCCGCAAGTGGTTGGCAGCCAGAGCAAAAGATTGATATATAATGAGAGTTCGGCTTCTTGTGCCAACATTTCCATACTAAATAGATTTGGAAATTCTGCCGCAAGTGGTTGAAGAGCGGTGTGGGAGCGGTTTGGGTGTATCCAAATCGCTCTTCTCGGGCAATGTATAGCGTAAGTTGAGCTCGCACCAAACAAAAAAGGAATAAGTTTCTAATTTTCGAAATCGTCTTAGCTAATTAAACCTATAGAATTCCACTTTTTTTTTTCATTTTTTCTTGCGATTTATAATGCATTAAGGGGACAAAGACCAGAAACTATTCGTTGAATGTGGCTCATAATCGGTATCGGTGCAATGAGGTATTTCCGTTGAAATTCCCGAACTTTGATGATTATCTCGTCATATCTAAACCAGTGAGACATCAAAGTTTGACCAGAGTATCTTACAATGATGAAATATCTCTATTGTAACATCTCACAATTTGAAATAACTAGGAAGAAGCTAATAATTGGAAATAGTCATTTTTGGAAAGAATGAAAATCTGGAAATTTGTTCAAGTTAGGAAAAAGTTGAGTTTTGGTCAACTTCAAACGGCCATAACTCCTAGCTCAGGATGAGTTAGGTGTACTTACAGACATGGTTGGAAAGCTCTTGTAATGATCTTTCCAACGCCGCCGAGTTTGCGCGATTCCGAGTTTGTATGAGTAAGTTATGCCCTTTGGAAGTTGGGTTGTTGGATTAAGGAAGTCCAAATCCGGATATGTGAAGGGTAAACTAGTCTTTTCCTTACCTAATTTGCCTATTTCGTTTTTAGGAATTAATTGGGGTAAAACAAGACTTTATTCAGTTTGAAAAATTAGAATTGACGCTAGGGCTTGGAGAGGAGAGAAATCAAGAAATCGCCAAGAACGTTCAAGCTTTGCAAGTGAAATTCGTCGGGGGTGATCCCTACAAGGTATGTGAGATCACACAGTGTTGGGTTAGTTCACCCACATGCCAATCTTGTTTCAATTCAGCGAATTTAAATTGTTTGAATGCAAAGAAAGTGAGTTCTTGAAGAACATTGTTGAAAATTCGTTGAGTTCTTGATGGTTGTGTTGTTGAAGTCTCTTGTTGATCTGATTCGTATTTTCAGGTGGATTTTTGAGTTAAATCTGTTGTATGTTGAGGGTACTATTGATCCTAAATGTTTTGGGAAAGAACCATGGAAGTTAGGAGGGTTTAGAGATGAAAACCGAAGGAGAAAAATCTGAGTTTTCTAGGCAAGGGTTTGGGGCGCCGCACCTGCCAGAGTGCCACAAAAGTTCCTCTAAACTTTGGCCTCTGGCGCGTCGCGCCAGCCAGAGTGCCACAAAAAGTTCTCTAAACTTTGAGGGCTGGCGCCCCACGCCTCTCAAAGCGCCAGGGACGCCAGTTCTCCCCATTCGTTTCCCCCATTTTAGTACTTGTTCCTTAGCAATGTACCTATGTTTTCTAGTTGATTCCAACACTCTAAGGTACATCTAAACATCATGAAATCATCCATAAACATGAGATCATGAACCTTGAATCCATAATCCAATTTGAGGAAAGTTAAGATCAAAGTCATAGAATCTAAGAGTCAAAGTCTAGAAGTTAAGAAGCAAGTCAAAGCAAAGTTTCTTAATGTTTTCAAGAGTCTTTATCAAATGTTTTACCTTCATTTTAACCCTCAAGTTTTAAGGTAAGCAAAGAGTAAACTTGAAGTTCTTTTCTTCAAAAGTATA